TACAGACCCCTGTCTTCATAGAGGACTCGGCGTCCTGGTAAAAAAAAAAAAGTCATCACTTCGATGTGCGGAAAAAAAAAAGTATCAAATTGTAACAAATTCGGGGTAACAATTGGCGATGGATTTAGCGGGACGGCGAGGAGGTTCCGCGAGGATGTAAACACATTCTGTGGAGAGAGTTCTAATCTTAGTCCATCAAGCTGCGAGATTCAAAGCCGCTTTCTATCCATTCATAGCGGGTTGTAGCGGGAGCGCGGCCGGCAGGTCCGCCATGGCGGCGCACAGTAGCTGCATTCATGCCGTCGCCCCTCTTGGGTTACATCGCCCGGGCAGCAGAGGAGGCCGCTCGGCACACGTCTCCTCTCATATCAATCTCATGTCACTTTCTCCCCTCTGCTTCCTTCCTTCTATTTCAGGGGCAACTGGATCGGAGAAGCGCCATATAAAACCGGGCGACCGTGCTCCGAGTGCCCGCCCAGCTACGGCGGCAACTGCAAGAACAACCTCTGCTACAAAGGTAACGAGCCGAGCGAACCCGGAAACATCCGCTTTTATTTTATGTGCAAATGGGAGACAATCTGCTGTTAAAGGTGAACTTCCGGGAACAAAAACGTTTAATTATGTTCCTCAAATATCCACAAAGGATGTAAATGTGATCTGCATCACTCAATGCCTTTACCAACCCATCATGGCCCCATCACTGTGCAGAGAGCAGAGCTATGGGAGGGGGTCCAGCAGGCTCCACCCACTACCAGGCCGCCTGCAAAGGGGGGGTGCAGACAAGCCCAATCACCCTGAGCAGAGAGCAACAGTAACCGGTCTGTATTACCGGAAGCTCCTCCCACTACAGGCTGCTTTGCAGAATACTCCAGGAGGGGGCGGAGACAAGACCAGTCACCCTGCACAAGGAGAGAGAGCAGCAGTGAGCGGTCTTTATTACAGGAGGGGGCGGAGACAAGGCCGGTCATCCTACACAGGGAGAGAGGGCAGCAGTGACCGGTCTTTATTACAGGAAGGGGCGGAGACAAGGCCAGTCACCCTGCACAAGGAGAGAGAGCAGCAGTGAGCGGTCTTTATTATAGGAAGGGGCGGAGACAAGGCCGGTCATCCTACACAGGGAGAGAGGGCAGCAGTGAGCGGTCTTTATTATAGGAAGGGGCGGAGACAAGACCAGTCACCCTGCACAAGGAGTCTCTTTAAGGCCTCATTCACACAGATGGCAATGGGGGGCGGCAAGACCAGGCGATTTGTTACTGGTGCAGAAAAATACCTGTTGATCTGCCAGAAATCCAGTGCGCCCCTAACTTCCTGTAGTGTACTGACAATGCTTTGCTGAGTGTGTTGTCAACCCTGCTGGTCTACAGAACTCCTCCGCTTTCCTCATCTCTACACCATAAGGGGGAGGTGTTTCAGTAGCTCTGAAAAGTGAACTGGGCGGGGCTGACAACACTGCTTGGGATTTCAGTGCAGCAGAGGCAGCGTTGTCAGCTCGGTACAGGAAGTGATGAGCTCCCTGGATTTCTGGCAGGTATTGTCCTGCGCTTGCAGCGTTTTTAGGTAGAGAAAACATGAGAAATGCGTTCTTTTTTTTAATTTTATTTAGCCATCTAGTTTGAAATTCCGAAGCCGCTCCGGAGACTACGCCCCCCCCTCCCCTTCCTCTGGAACAACCATCAATGGATCGTTCTGGAGAGCCGTCGTCACCTCTCACACACTCGTCTTCCCCGAAATGCCGCGAGCGGGAAATAGAAATCGCCGGGAATTGTTTAATCAGCTGTGAAAGCCGTTAATCCGCCGCGGCTATTCCGCCTCTCCGAACCTGGAGCGCTCGTCCTGGCATTCCAGGCTGCCCGGCAACCAAATATTGAACGCGTTGTTGAGCGCTGCGCGACGAATCGTGAAAACGTTTTATTATTTCGGTCATAAAAAACCCCGCGGCAGCCCGCCGGAGGACTTTCATCGCGGCCGGGTACATCACGCGTCCAGGTCCCTCGTGTGATTCCCATTAGGAAGACGTCATACGCCGGGGGTCTCGCCAGAATGTGCCTTTCCGCTTTATGGGGCGCGATAAAGGCCGCGCAATTTGTAGAGGCGTCGCCCAGGTATTGGCAGAGAGCGGCGCAGAGCCTGAAAGGAGCTCTCCGGTCAGAGAATTCGCGCTGAGCGCTCGCTGGCCGCAGATTTCATGCGTTTTGCTGCCCGCTCTGGCGCAGCAATAGCGCGCGCACTCCGCTGTCTTCAGCTGGACGCGATCGGACCAATGCGTCAATCGATGCGCAGCTGAGAAAAGTCGCGGCTGCTGCGTGTTTGATAAACTTCATCCGATCCATCATAAGCTTGAAAACTGCGTCAAGGTGCATCTAATGCGACCGCAGCAAAGGAGGGGCCATTCACTCGTTTTCTGGCCTG